AAAAAATTATATAGCTATATGAAATTTTATTCTAACTGTATTTTAAAATTAATATATATATATTTATATCAAAATACACTTAGAATGAATTTGTATATATATCTATGTATATAAAAATAAATAAAAATAATAAGAAATACAACCGCCGCTCAGACTGCGCTGATCCGCCCGGTTGCTGATGCCCTATCTGCCCCCGGGGACCCCACATCCATAACGCAAAGGGGAGAAAAAAAAAAATAAGAAAAACACCGCCTGACCCGAACTAAGGGGCTCGGCCGACACGCATACAACGGCCCTGACATCATCACGAAACTGTACAATACTAAACAAGGTTATAGTGGACTTAAGAAAAGCTGCAAGAGTATGGACTGATCCTACACCACAATATGCACGAACAAAACTCCACCTGCCGGGAATAGCGACTACCCGAGACTGAGTACACACCTGGCAATGTGACAACCTGGACTGACCTCCCCCTTGTGCACTTATAGGAATGACCCCGTTGTGCTTCTCCTTGCCCTCACGGTCTCATGACACTCCAGGAACGTTCTCGGGGGCCCTTTGATGTGGCATTGGGGTGGTGGGGTGATTTGGGGGGGGCTCTGGACATACTCTGTTCCTGCGCTGACACGACCACGGCTGCTTTGGCTTGAATATGCATGGATTAGTGCCGTGACTGGACTTACCTGTGACATCACCAACATGCACGAAATCAACAGCGAATCCAGGACTATCCACACCTGCTAAGTATCTTTGCTTGAAGTTCTACCGCTTAATTGCTTTCTCTCCTATGTTATTTACTGTGCTAAATATTGCTGATGATTTGGCTATGTCTCCTGAATATGTAGACTGTACCAGAGGGACAGGCGGGTATGTGGGAATTTACCTGGAACATGAGGGCTAGAGGGGGCCAGCCAAATGGAACACCCCCACGAGAACATCAGGGAGTTAACTACTTTTAATAAGACTCATTGGGAAGATGCCCTGGGATTTACCACACCTCACTCTGAACATAGCACACACCAGGAAGGATAGAGACATTATGGCTAGATATCCTCATCGATCAGATAATAGGTGCCCGGGCAGATTTAGGATCGCTATATCTCTCATGACACATTTTGGAAGATAAGTGGGAGACACAATGGTTATGGGGGGCTTGCCCCGGGGCGGAGTGGGTGGTTAGACTGCCTGGCGGGGAGTGTTGGGGGGGAAGGTGGATAAATGTTACCGCCAATTGGTGCTGATACTCATATTGTTATTGTTTATGTTCACATCGTTTAACCTGCTATGATTCTGTTTGATCCCCTGATTGTTTGCTCCTCCCACGACTATACACACTTGGGCTGGACACTGGTTGGAGCGAGATAGACGAGAAACCGACTTACCCACGACACACAGACCACGCCTACTCGGGCTTGGACTCCGTCCACTGCTCTATACTCTCACTTGCGCAGAATCCTCAAAGGAGCCACAGGCTCGATCACCCACCGATCTGGTTATCGGAGTGACACCTGGCCACTCCTATTGAGACGCAAGTGACTCTCCTCTTTTTGGAGATCTCGGGGTTACACCCACCTTTTACCCCGCTGGGGATATACCCCAAGGGAGGGACCCACCCGGACCACCCCCCCTATTTTATTATATATATCCCACTCTATCCTTCACCCACAAAATCAACATTCCCCTACTAACGATACCAATCGCATACTACCCTTAAATACACCCACACGCACTCACCCACACTCACACCAACCCTCGCGGCTGCGGCACACGTCCTGGCCTGACACAGATGACGAAGGGGGAAACCTCCTGAACGAGACCCATAGCTCACGGGACGCTTGTATACCCACCCATAACTAGCACTGAAACGGACGCATAGAACACCACACCTCATAGTCACGCGTACGCCCACACTAGCTGGCATTGTCTCCCTGGCCGATCACCCCACCTGGATACCCCCCCTAGGAGCCGGAGCGTACAGCCGCAGAGGAAATCATGGCGTATAATCGCGCTCCCCTGTCCGTCATGACCCTTAACTGCAGAGGCTTGAATATACCGCTCTCACCTACTAAGAATCCTGCGACAGAAACACATATCGATAGCGATGCTACAAGAAACTCACTTTCGGGAGAACGCTGCTCCAAAACTCCGAAGCGCTCACCATCCATTATGCTATTGCAACAATCACCCGTCCGCTCGTCGGGCGGGGGTTGCGATACTGCTTGCTGCAAACCTAGATTTCCAAGAACTGGACAGATTGGCTGACGATCAAGGGCGCTTCCTTTTCCTGAAAGGAACGATAGCCGACAGAATGTACACTCTCGCGACCATATACGTTCCCAATTCTAAGCAAGCACAATTCCTTCGCGGGACACTACACAAACTGCATGGATTCTCGGAGGGAGCATTGATAGTGGGGGGAGACTTTAATGTCCCATTAGACCCTCTCATGGATTCATCTACTGGCCACAGTTGCCTCTCACAATCTCGCATTAGATCCATCCGCAAAACGCTAGGTGAACTAGCATTGGTGGACTGTTGGAGGACGCTTCACCCCTCTACCAAGGACTACACGCATTACTCGATGATCCACAAACGTTATTCCCGCATAGATTATGTGTTCATCAAGCAAGAAGGGCTCTCCCGTTTGCGCACAGCCTCTATAGAACCGGCTACCTGGTCGGACCACGGCTCAGTCAGGGTCGAATTGGAATCCCCGCTGTTTAAACCTGCAACATGGACGTGGCGCCTGAATGAATCTCTGCTCCAGGACCCTGGGGTAAGAGGGGAGATCACACAAGCACTGGAAAACTACTTTGCCGAGAACGGAACAGATGAGATATCTCCGGTGTCGGTGTGGGAGGCACATAAGAGTGTTATACGTGGTACCCTCATCGGCATTGCGTCTCGCAAAAGGAAGGAGTCCACCCGGGCGATGGCAGACGCGTATAAATCCATCACACGCCTGGAATCCCAACACAAACGTTCCCAACTAACCTCAACATATGGTGAACTGATGGAAGCCAGACGAACTTTGCAGACCCTACTCACGCAAAGACACCACCGCTCACTCCAAAGATCGCGGTCCTTCTTTTACACCCATGCAAATAAAGGTGGGAAATTCCTCGCCCGCCTCCTGAGAGGAGACACACCACGCACTCAAGTGAGGAAACTTCGCTTATCAACGGGCAGTATATCACCATACCCTGAGGAAATAGCAGGTGAATTCCGTGAATATTACAACTCCCTCTATAACCTCTACCCACCAGAGGACACAGCCCATGGATGGGAAACGTCCTCACTCATACAAACATACCTGCAAGACAACGTGCGGAAACGGATGAACCCTGAGACGGCAGATATACTTGACGAACCGATTAGCACGGAGGACTTAGCCGCAGCGTTGAAGGGCACGAAAACTGGACGAGCCCCTGGACCAGATGGGTTCTCCACAGGGTACTACAAACACTTTGCTACGACACTCCTACCGTGGCTAACGAAAGCAGTAAACAAAGTTGCGGAGGGGGGACACTTTGGCACGGAGTCCCTGACGGCAACAATCACGGTCCTGCTCAAACCCGGAAAGGACCCGGAACAATGTGGCAGCTATCGCCCGATCTCTCTACTGAATGTGGACACGAAACTCCTGACGAAAGTATTGGCATCTAGACTTCAAAGGACGTTACCAAACCTTGTCCACGCGGATCAGACTGGATTTATCCCAGGTCGAGAGGCACGAGACAGCACATTACGCCTCTTTTCTATACAACATCATGCACGGAAGTTTCGGAAACAACTCCTACTACTGTCCACAGACGCCGAAAAGGCATTCGACCGGGTCAACTGGGAATACATGTTTCAAACCCTCCGGTTTATAGGTCTTGGCCAGAGAACCATGGCGTGGATTACTGGACTATACAGCACACCAAGGGCGACGGTACGCGTCAATGGAGCGCTGACCACGAGTTTTGGAATTGCGAATGGAACCAGGCAGGGCTGCCCCTTATCTCCGCTTCTTTTCGCACTCTCTCTGGAGCCACTTCTGCAAGCGATCCGAGATCGTCAGGACATACACGGTTACACCTGGCAGGACACGGAACATAAGGTGGCTGCTTATGCGGACGACCTTTTGTTCTTTGTCTCCCAGCCTCGGATCACACTGCCATGTATACTATCTGAGATGGATAGATTCGGCCGAATTTCTGGGTTTAAACTCAATCTAGCAAAATGTGAGGCACTAAATCTCACCATACCCGTAGCGGACTACGTATCCCTCGGCCCACTCTTCCCATTTCGGTGGTGTACGGGAGCAATGAAATATCTCGGCATATGGATCACCACAAACCCACAAGACATACACCAACGCAACTTCACGACCCTACTGCGCGGCATTGAATCCGATCTGAAAAGATGGTCCTATCCACATATCACATGGCACGGCCGGATAGCGGTCCTTAAAATGAACGTTCTCCCGAGAGCGCTATACTTATTCCAGACTATACCGATGGCGCCGCCGGCAAAATTCTTCTCAACTCTGAAATCAGAAGTGATCAGGTATGTATGGAGGGGAGAAAGATCCAGGATACGCCATGAAATACTGTGCATGCCCAGACATAGGGGGGGTTTAGCCCTACCCGATTTTAAAAAATACCACCAAGCAGCGACGCTACAACGGATTCTGGAGTGGCACGAATTAGAGACAACCAAACAATGGGTGATCCTAGATCAAGAAGGAGACAGTGCAAAACTGAAGGCTGCAATTTGGAAAAGGCGGGCAACGAGAGGCAACAGAAGAGGGGACGATGACCCAGTTACATAAACACTCCTCACATGGGAACAACTCAGGGAAACACCACAAATCTCCCCAACTCCCTGCCCATTACTACCGATCGCTCATAACCCCAATATAGGAGGCGGCCTACCGCCAGATGCCTGGTCACTCTTGGGTGAAGCAGGATACATCCCAATACATAAGGTCATTCGGGATGGCACCCTGCGGACTCTGGACGCGCTACTGGAATCAAGACCGCGCTCACATATGGCGGTTTTTCGATACATGCAACTGAAACATTATTTCAACACACTCCCGCACAAAGAAAAGCTGCAAAGAGACCTCACATGGTACGAGCAACTCTGCTCCAGGGGCACGTCATTAGGGAAAGCAATCTCGAACCTCTACCAATACATACTGACCAGTCCCACATCGGAAAACAACCTCTTCAAACGACACTGGGAACGAGCCATGACTAAGTCCTTCACAACAGCACAATGGGACAAGGCCTTGCTCTGGCAGCACAAAAGCTCCTCCAGCTCTCACTATCAAGAGGTGAACTACAAGTTGCTTTCTATGTGGTATCGAACACCTGTACTGTTACATAGGATCTTCCCCACTACACCACCAACGTGTTGGAGATGCCAGGAGGATAGGGGGAACATGCACCACATATGGTGGGAATGTAAACACATTGCCCCATACTGGGACCGGACCAAATCAGACATTCAACTGATCCTGGGAGATGACCTTGAATGGTCAGAGGAACTAGCCTTGCTACACATATCCAAACGACCACTATCCACATACAAAAAATCTATCATGTGTCACCTATTGAATGCGGCCAAATCGCTCATACCGGTATACTGGAAGAAACCAGACATCCCGACAAGGGAGGAATGGATCCACCGGGTTGAAGACATCAGGGCAGCGGAAGCTCTGAAGGCAGAGATGACGGGTAGGGAAGCTCAACACGCTGAAGCCTGGGCACCATGGTATACATACCGCTCGCAACCTTAGGGGGTTCCGGGGGGGGGACTGGGGCGGGGAGACGATATGGAGCTCACTAGACCCATACGACATGAACCACACTCTGTATTGATCACCTGACGATCGCAGATTCAACCGATACACCTCACACTCTATCCACAACTTTTGGGGGATAAACACATCCCCGCCACTTCAATACGAACATGAGATCTCATCCGATACGACGAATTACCCTGACCCGCAGTAACTCCATAGGTCAAAAGGGGACCTCTTAGGGCGTGACCCATATCCCCACAGAACCACAAGGGGGGGCATCTTGAACACATCTGGACATGGCACGCATACCACCTCTATAAGACAATGCTGACAATCAGATTAATGGACGTGTGCAGCAGCCCCGAGATATAGCAACACACACATACACCACGACACTATACCTCTCCTGATGAACCCTAGAAAACACATACTCCGCACCTACACAGACCCAAGCAAGGGCCCTCACGGCTGACCTCATCTTGATATGCCGCAACACGACAACATGATAACTAGCAAGAACCTCAACCAGGTTAATAACTACCGCGCCCAACCCGGATGAGCTCTAACACACGGGAAAAGGACGCAAATCTCGCACATCCGACCAAACAAGTCCATCTCTATAGAAACAATTTGATTGCCATATGGACAGGGTCACTATCGGTTGCAGATGGATTACAAGGGGGTAGACTGACTACACTAAGCCCTGGGTACGTACGGACCTCTTCTCACTGCTCCCCATATCCCTGCATTATGGATCTCGTATCAGACAGACACCACACACTCCTACACATGACCACTAGTTAGGATATTATCCTTCACACCGAAACACACAACATACATTCATTGACAATCACTCTGGCTTCACCCCAATCAAGGAACCGCATCCTTAGAGCACATATGAGCGCTACCATACCCACGTAGCTCTAGCTCTATATGGAAGCCCCTGACTCGAGGATATATTGTGACGATAATATTTTTCAATTCACGTTTTAGAAATTAAACAGAATTGTACTCTATCATCGGTTGTATATTGGAACAGGGAACATCCCTGCATATGTACGTGTATATGTTATACTTCAAAAATGCTACCTTCACTGTTTGACTGATGTGGGCCTGCGAGCCCTGAAATTTATCGTATCTAATTGCTAATAAAAACCTGATTAACAAAAAATAATAAAAATAAAAAATAATAAGAAATATACATACGTCCATATACAAAATTACATAAATAATTATATAAATATACACGTAGACTTCAAATATATAAATATGCATATATATTTAAATTCTACGTGCGTATTTATATAATATTTTTACATAATTCAGTAATTTTATTGATTACAATTTGAGGGACCTGCCTGCCAACCCAGGCCGAAATTCCAGAGAATTTAATTTGCTAGCACTGTATTTTACCCTGTAACGTTCTACGACACCCTAAAACCTGTACATGGGGGGTACTGTTTTATTCGGGAGACTTCGCTGAACACAAATATTAGTGATTCACAACAGTAAAACATATCACAGCGATGATATTGTCAGTGAAAGTTACTTTTTTTTGCATTTTTCACACACAAACAGCACTTTTACTGATGATATAATTGTTGTGATACGTTTTCCAGTTTTTAAACACTAATATTTGTGTTCAGCGATGTCTCCCGAGTAAAACAGTAACCCCCATGTACAGGTTTTATAGCATTTTTGAAAGTTACAAGGTCAAATATATGGGTCAAATATTTTACATTGAAAATGGCCAGGTTGGTTACGTTGCCTTTGAGAGCGTATGGTAGCCCAGGAATGAGAATTACCCCCATGATAGCATACCATTTGCAAAAGAAGACAACCCAAGGTATTGCAAATGGGGTATGTCCAGTCTTTTTTAGTAACCACTTGGTCACAAACACTGGCCAAAATTAGCGTTCAATTTAGTTTTTTTACTTTTTCACACACAAACAAATATGAATGCTTACTTTGGCCAGTGTTTTCGACTAAGTGGCTACTAAAAAAGACTGGACATACCCCATATTGAATACCCTGGGTTGTCTACTTTAAAAAAAAATATGTACATGTGGGGTGTTATTCAGAAATTTATGACAGATAATAGTGTTACAATGTCACTATTGATAAATTTTAAAAATGTATGTTTTGAAAATGTATGTTTTGAAACCGCAATATCCTACTTGTACCTATAGCCCTATAACATGCAAAAAAGCACGTAAACACTAGGTATTTTTAAACTCAGGACAAAATTTTGAATCTATTTAGCAGTTTTTTTCATTCGCTTTTGTAGATGAGTAAAAAATTTTTCAAGTAAAAGTCAAAAAACATGTATTTTTTTCAATTTTTCATCAGATCTTTGTATTTTTTTTAAATTAAAATACATGAGATTATATAAATAATGGTATGTAAAGAAAGCCCCTTTTGTCCTGAAAAAAACAATATATACTTTGTATGGGAACAGTAAATGAGAAAGCGGAAAATTACAGCCAAACACAAACACCACAAAAGTGTAAAAATATTCCTGGTCGCAAATGTACAACATCGCAAAAACAGTCCAGTCCTTAAGGGGTTAAAGCATTTAAATCGGACAAATCAGATGAATCTTATAAAAGATATAAGGATGCAAATAATGCGTCCAAAAAGACAATTAGACTTGCTAAACTTCAAAATGAAATAATGATAGCTGAAGAGAGCAAAACCAACCCCAAAGCATTTTTTAAGTACATAAATTCTAAAAAAAAAACAAAATGAAAGTGTAAGTACACTAAAAACTGAAACGGGGGTGTTAGTTAATGAAGACCAGGAAAAGGCAGGAATTTGAAATAACTATTTCTCCTCCGTATATATTAAGGAAGAACCCATGGCAATAGATGTGCAAAAGATTGCTACAAAAAATTTGCAGAATAATTGTAATTGGTTAACTCAAGACAAGGTGCTGCAGCAACTAAAGAAAGTTAATATAAACAAAGCTCCAGGGCCTGACGGCAGGGCCGGACTGGGGAAAAAATTCGGCCCGGGCATTTTTAATTACAGCGGCCCACTGAAAAGGGGGCGGGACCAGATAGGGTGTGTTTTGTCATCCCCAATGACAAGCACGCCCCATCTCAAAGTGAGCATGTTGGTTCAATGCTCTTCCAGGGCATGAGAAAAGGGCCCTGTATTTGATCTGCACAGCGCAAGCAAATTTTATAACATGCTTGCATTGTGTTTGCTTGAAACTTGTCTCAGGGGTTTCCATAATTGGAATACTCACTGTATCCCATTTATGGAGACACTATGTGTTTGCTTAAAGGATATCTAGTGTGTTCATAGGGGATCCTGAGTGTGTATGTCAGAAATGTAGTGTGTGTGTAAGTGGTGCAGCGTCTGTGTGTAGGGGATCTAGTGTGTGTTTGAAGGACTCCGGAGTGCGTATAGGAGATCTAGTGAGTGTGTGACTGGTGCAGTGTGTTTGGGGGGTGCTGTGTGTGTGACTGGTGCAGTGTGTTTGGGGGGTGCTGTGTGTGTGAGGGGTGTAGTGTGCATTTGTGAGGAGTATAGTGTGTGTGGGAGGGTGCAGTATGTGTGTGGGAGGGTGCTGTGTGTGAGGGCACTGTGCGAGGGTTCTGTGTATTTGAGGGTGCTGTGTATTTGAGGGTGATGTGTGTGTGTGTGTGTGTGCTAGGTTGCTGTATGTGGTAGGGTGCTGTGTCAATGTTAGGATGCTGTGTCAATGTTAGGGTGCTGGTGTTAGGGTGCTGTGTGTGTGTGTGTTAGGGTGCTGTGTCAATGTTAGGGTGCTGGTGTTAGGGTGCTGTGTGTGTTTTAGGGTGCTGTGTGAGTGTTAGGGTGCTATGTGTGTGTTAGGGTGCTGTGTGTGTGTTAGGGTGATGTGTCAATGTTAGGGTGCTGGTATTAGGGTGCTATGTGTGTGTTGGGGTGCTGGTGTTAGGGTGCTGTGTGTGTGTGTTAGGGTTCTGTGTCAATGTTAGGGTGCTGGTGTTAGGGTGCTGTGTGTGTGTTAGGGTGCTGTGTCAATGTTAGGGTGCTGGTTTTAGGGTGCTGTGTGTGTGTTAGGGTTCTGTGTCAATGTTAGGGTGCTGGTGTTAGGGTGCTGTGTGTGTTAGGGTTCTGTGTCAATGTTAGGGTGCTGGTGTTAGGGTGCTGTGTGCGTGTTGGGGTGCTGGTGTTAGGGTGCTGTGTGTGTTAGGGTTCTGTGTCAATGTTAGGGTGCTGGTGTTAGGGTGCTGTGTGTGTTAGGGTTCTGTGTCAATGTTAGGGTGCTGGTGTTAGGGTGCTGTGTGCGTGTTGGGGTGCTGGTGTTAGGGTGCTGTGTGTGTTAGGGTTCTGTGTCAATGTTAGGGTGCTGTGTGTGTGTTAGGGTGCTGTGTCAATGTTAGAGTGCTGGTGTTAGGGTGCTGTGTGTGTTAAGGTGCTGTGTCAATGTTAGGGTGCTGGTGTTAGGGTGCTGTGTCAATGTTAGGGTGCTGTGTGTGTTAGGGTTCTGTGTCAATGTTAGGGTGCTGGTGTTAGGGTGCTGTGTGTGTGTTAGG